ACAGACAAGGACATTGAATTTGTCGAAGCCAAAAAATGTCTGATTTTGTATGGAATCAGAAAACCAACGGCTGACCACCGCCACATACATGAAATACATCAAAAAAAAAACAAAGAGTGAGGATTGACATGATAGCTCGTGGGTACTATGTAAACAAGGATAACCCGTATGTCTTCTTCTTCATGATGAAGAAGTTGATAAAGCGATGGTTCGACTTTCAACGTCCCACAGATTATCTGCAATAGTACCAAAACAAAAGCCCCAGTCTCTGCACATGGATGCAGCAAAACTGTTAACTGATTGATTGCAGTTTTCTTTCGTTCTTATCACTTCACGTGTTAGAAAATATAGTAAATAACAAAACTAAACTAGACAAATGCAGAGACTTTGAGGCGTGAAAGCACGTTCTTTAATGTGTTATTTACCTCTATTAGACAAATTACCTCTAAGATACAACAAAGTTTAAGAACTATCAATGAAAAGTAAAAAAAGTAATTTAATTCTGCTGAAATCCTTCTATTTAAAAGAATTGAAGCACCTATTCAAAGCACCATCAAAGGATGCAATCCTTATTGAATAGGTGTATAGGTAGTTAACCAATTAACAGACATGTCTGCTAAATGTAACCGTCATTAACTACTTCTAATTGATTAACACCCTATCATAATCAGAAAGCCCCAAGTGCCGAGGTGTCCTTGTCAAGATTTTATATATCTTTTAATTCATATTCAAGTGCACGAGATATAAACTGAAATAACTTTCCCACCAAACTAATATTTTGGAACAAGTTTGTAAAGGAAACAAGACAATAATTCATATATAGACAATGAGCACTCTATCTCCTTTCAACGTGAGATAATAAACTTCAACATTCTCGTTACAAACTATTACCAACATTACGATCAGTGGGCGGTAGGCACGTGATTGTACAACCTTGATACCGTCGTTGTCTGCAAATCAGGCCCTCCTTAAAGCTTGCCCCGATTTTTCTCCAAAGGAGGCTTCTATAAAAGAAGATGCTATACACTAGGGAAAATCACGGAATGTCCTCCTAAGGTTTGTGGTGTTATGTAATTTATAGTTTATACCCTAATATTAATTATCATTTTGGCACTATATCCCCCGTTAGTCCACCTCAGCAAGTGATTCGTTGAAACATTGAATTAGACTAAAACATTTCTCATTTAAATCGTTCATATTTCTGATGAAAATGCCCCACCTATTATTTATAAAGAAACGTTTCCCTTCAGAGTCAGAAATATTTTGTTATCATTTCATTATCCATAAGATCCTTTAAACTTCCAAGTCCTGCAATTGCAATCAACAAAGGAAAAAATGGTCTCAAACCTTTTTCAAATTTATTTCATTGTTCTTCCTCTAGACGTTGTCCATCACAGCGTCTAAAAGAACCAAATTAAGAAACCTGTGGCTATGGTAAAATGACACCTTTAAGAAAATCATGAACACCGAAAAATTCCAAAAGGAGATTTAGTGGATTTTCAAATTATAAATAAATTAATATTTTTTTAACTTTTAGACAAACTAATTTGAAAAACGAAAAAAATTTTCTAGAATCGTCAAAATAAATTATGATTTTCTCGTTTTTCTTTGCAAAATATATTAGCAATAGCAGATTTTTCCCTTCAAGAAGGATATTTTTGAAAAAAAAAATACTGCCCCGTCCAAACCCATATGCAATTTTGTCTATCTATTATTTTACCAGGGATACCATTGTCCTTCAGCTGTTAATCGTCACCATAGTTACTACTTAAATACCTTGACTACTAGTCGAAAAAATAAATGGTCAAAAAGATAACATTAGAGGTTAAAGTGCAAAACACCACAAACCATAAGGGAACACTTTCGCTTTCGTATACACTACTACGTTCTATGGACCAAGCAAAATAATATTCACAGTTAACTCACACGAATTTTATACGGTGATGCTTGGGGCGGGCCTCTCTCAACCCGTAGTGAGATTAGTTGGGTCGTACGATAATCAGTCCACGAGCCCAGATACCCACTGTCGACAAAAAGAAAAAAAAAAAAAAAGATAGATCAATATGCATAATAAATAGAAATTCTACACTGGCATTGGGGTCAAGTGCCGAACAAGCATTTGCGATATTTCGGTCGAATTGCCGAACTTTAAGGTTGTGTTTGGATTACATTTTTCATGAAAAAATTACTGTAACGATTTGATGTATGTGAGGAAAAAAGGTAATAGAAAAATGTGATCACGGAAAACGACTAATTTTTCGACGAAAAATCGCAATCCAAACGAGGCCATGTTTGTGATATACATGTAGATGAGATATGAATGAACACCGTCGATTTTAAAGGCGATTTGCCAAATTTTAAGCGTTTGTGTTATAAATTAACTTGATTGATCATAGTTGAATTAAAGGCCAATTTTATGAATGATTGAAATTTGGAAAAAATTTCTCGAATGGCCGTTCAATTTCAAACGATGTCAGTTTCAGAAATCAAATTCTTGAAGTAGCTTTCCAGAAGATATTTTTTTTTCCTCAAATCAATGCGCCTGTCGCATCAACGAATTTAGGGAGACATTAGTGGAAGGCTTTCCAATTATTTGTTGATTCTTTACCTGTCAATCTGTTGAACTATTTGGCCCATTTAGAGCCCGGGAGGTGGGGCATGTTCTGCTGGATTCAGGAGGAGAAAGTACAAAAGGAAGGGTCCCGAATCCAGTGGAGTGACTCATCTGCAATAACTGTCCACATGTCCAAAATCCCAATTATCATTCCTTTCGTGAGCACATTATCTCGATCATCTGAATCGCCACCAAACTTTTGAAATCACCGAATTTTGATCATTAAATTATTAAAAGGTTGGTTTTGAGCACTAAATTATTTAAAATTAAGATTTCAAATCATTCTATTAAATTTAATCATTAAACATGATAGAAATGAGTACTCACACGATTCACGTACAAAAGAAAATGGCATGGTTAATAACTAAATTTAACCGAATTGTTTGAAATCTAAACTTTAGATAATTTATTAGCCAAAACCAGACTTTTAACAGTTTAGTGATCAAAACTCAACGATTCCAAAAGTTCAGTGGCCATCCTGAAAATTTGCTCTTCTTTCATTACTAGGTTAGAGTAGTTGGCCACCGGGAATTTGACTTGCATCTTTCTCCAAAGTTTCCTAAAAGTTTTACCTCTTCTCCGTTTGGTTCGCTAATGATTTATTCTCCACCGAGTTCTCCATTGGCCCATTTGGATTCACCTGCCCCTAGTATAGAGTAGGAGTAGGTATAGTATAAAATCTATCGTATCAATAAAAAAAATGTAAAATTTGCTAATTTTTAGTAGTTATGTACAGTTTTTATCCAATACAAAACTGTGATTTTTTTAAAAAAATTCCTTTCAAACATACGAGGGATGAGATTTAAAAAGTGGAAAAGGGATAAGAAAATTTGAACCCAAGACTTCAAATCTTTGGGACTTTATAGTTTAAACTTTGAATTACATAGTTGTATCATGTGAAAAATGATCTGACTTTTTACCCCCCCCCCCCCTCTTCCTCCTTCCCTCAACAAAAAAGAAAAAAAAATCTGACTCATGATGCAAAATGGAGGCAATTAAGCAACATTCAAGTCCTTATATTGCAATAGTACTTGTCAAAGTTGTCCAATCATTACAAGGCGTTAAAAAGAGTAATTTAAGTGGGTTTGGACATATCTTTTTTTAATGTAACTAGAATGTCTCGAATGTGAGACTACTCCTCTGTACTCTCTTCAGTACCATCCAACTCATCCCTTTTTCAAGTTTGGGCGAGTTACAATTAGATAATGGGTATAATTTGATCAACTCATTTATTTTCATTTTATAAATATATCAAAATAGACGAGCCATATATGGGTAAAAATCTTAAATGAGCATGGACATACCCAATTATCCAATTAAGACTCACTTAAAATTCTTCTTTTTTTTTGGTGTTATTTGACAAAAAAAATGACATTTTATTACTCCTACACTAATAAGATATTTAAATTTATCCGTTTAACACCCTTTAAAAATTGAGTTTGAACGTGCAATTTTAAATAGGTATAAATGAATAATGCGAGTCCAGCTACTACCCACTAATTAAATGGTCTAATGGAATCACCCATTTAAACCCATTGAAAGTCATTTCTACATCTAAATCCACTAATTACTAAGTGGGTCAACTTAATTGGGTTACCCTCGACACCTATAATGACGAGGTAACTACTTAAATTCCAGCATCCCAGCAATTAAACTATTGCCACCAACCCAGGAGAATCACTCGAAAATAGAGAAACCCCCCACGTTTACTCGTACACGTCCCAAGACGAAGGCAGGAGAGACAAAGACAGATATGAGGAAATGAGCAAATTGGTTTTGGACTAATTTCGTCCACGTCCAGTAGTAAACTGGAGCATGTTTTAAGCATATGATCATTTCTGTATTCTCCCTATGATCCAAAATATCTCAGATAATTAATAGAAGAAATAAGAGAATCACCTACTTGAAGAAATTAATACAAGCTCTATCATATTTGAGTAGTACTTTTCTTTTTCGAGTAGTTCTCGTTGTTGATCATGCAAATCTGTTCCAATTTCTGTTCTTTCCGTGCAAGTCCAAAAAATATTCCTAGTACTTCCCTAACCGCAACTGGATCCTGATATTCTTGCTTCCCTGCTCCTTAAAGTCCCTGTAATCTCAAGATTACGTTCATATCTATTCATGAGTCTTCGATTCCTAAATCTACTAGAACCCGAAGAAGCTACAGAAAGGCCCGGCAGAAGCATCAAAATGTTACTTCAGGCGAATTTAACACAAAGGCCTAGCTGCTAGAGTCAACTTGGAACCAATTTAAATTCCTAATGAATTGCCTAACTAAGGTCGCTGCTTCTTTGAAGCCAAAAGACACAATGATACATGATTACAGGGTACTGCTTAAAAGGAAAACCATGGCAGGAAACAAAGCAAGTAAAGTATACCAGTAGTATAAAACATTCCACAAATCAAGGACAAAGTCGTCATGCATATCATTGAAATGTCTATACACAGGATCGCAATTATCGGAATGCTGGTTAACGAAAAGTGATAAACATTTAGCTTACAAGTACACAGAACTTGCATCCACAGTCCAGTATTGTATCTTAACTGTAACACCACATTAAAAGTGTTGCAAAGTAGCTGTCTTATGAAACCTGTAGTCCAACCGAACCTCAATTTTTACCAGGAAGAACTGGTAGTGTTTTAGCGTCTGGTGACTCTGTATAAGATATTGAGATCAGTTTAGACCTATATGTATCATTTCCATCAACTTTTGTAGCAGCAACCACATTCTCTCCTGTTAGGTTTTCATTTGAGTTTCTAGCAGCAGCTTCCTTCTCTGGTGCTGTGTAAGAGATGGCAATAAGTGATTCCCGAGTCAACTCTTCAGAAACCTCCTTTCCAGATTCAATTTTATCCATAAATTAGAATTGTCTCCTGAAATATATCAAAAGAACCTGGTCAACCAGAAAGCATAACTTTCAACAAGTAATTTTTACACGTCTGACCATCATATGACCTTTGCTATCAATGTTTAGACCAATAGAAACAATTTGGCAATAAACAGCAAGCTAAATGCCACTACTCCAGAAAATGCATGTAATTTAACCACACATCATTGACATGATATTCACTCGGTCTCCAAAAAAGATGAATTTCATTTTCACGACAAAGATGTAAGGGATGTCAAGAATGGATGGAGGAGAAGTAGAGAACATAAACCCACAGGAGCAAAGATATAGCTGACATGTTTCATATTCAAAGATTGATCCTGTAATGTCACTTATGTCTAATCTTGTAACGTTGAATCCCTCTCAAGACACAACTCCTAGGCCCCAGTATCCCAATCCCAGAAACTTCACTTTCCAACAATTCTATTCTTTTTTATGGTCCAATCAGATAATGCAAAATTGGAGGGTTGCACTTTGTAACTTCTTTGCTTCCTTTATATATGAAACATATTCTTCCTATACAGCGGGAACCCAGCCAAATGGCATCCTCTAAATAGTAACATCAGGCACTGACCAAGGAAATCTATTTTTAAGCTCCGACAACTCCCCACTAATAGAATTGTTTGGAACACAAAAAAAGTAAAAATAAAGTGACATTGTTTCTGAGTTGGGTAGACATGTGGTGGAAGCAAAAGGGTCATATCACTAAAAGTCAAGATTGACTGAGAAAGATCATAGGACATAGTGCTCTACATTCACCAAAAGGAGATGAAGCTATCCACCAGATTGACTCACAAACGCTCAAAATAACAAGTCCAAAATCACATAGAAGTTCAGCAAGTATGATGGCTTCACTCAGCAAAGGGTGAAGAGGAGTATCATTCATCTGACACCAACTAAAATGCGGAACTACTTCTCTAGTTCCATGACACTGTCAACCTTAAAGGCCAGTCCTTTCTCAGTTTTTCACCACTAACTAGTCATAAAGCCTCATCCATCATCAAAAGAAACCATTTCAAAACTGCTCTTAGCATTACCCTCTATTATCTAAATTATGTGTATTTTTTCACTACAGTCCTGCCCTAAGCCAAGGTCCATTAAATGAATAGATTGGCAGCAAATATGTGGAACGAGATTATACAGGGAACAGTAAGAACATAGCTCACTATGAAATATCAAAAAGACTGCCCAGTAAATCACCAGCCTGGTTTCCTGCCACTTCTCATGTCAACTACATAACCAATTTCATGGTTGAAGCAAATGACAGGAGGTAGACAGCAACAGACATCATACAAGCAGATCATGCAAGTTCTTTTCATTCATAAAAACTCCGTCCAGGTACAAAGATTATGCTGACCAGAAAATTTATTAGCAGCATAAAGAGTTTTCTGAAATCTCTCCCTCCACATGTAAAATGTGTTTATTAAGTACAGAAAAGAGAACTGGTTACGTAAAATAAATAAAGATAAAAGCACCTTATAATGCAAGACAATATAGGATAGATAAATTTTGCTCTTGCAACTGTGGTAAGCCAAATCAGACATCAAACTTGGTCATCAAAGACTGGGGAGCAAAAACAATGATCCTTAAGATAAATCCAAGCGGACATACTTGACATGCAAGCCAGAACAACTAAATATGTGAAAGATTTTTTCTACCCATTCCAGTTTTATTTTTCATTTTATATTGGATTAGTAGGTAAACCTCATGAAGACGCCAATAGTTATGGTCCAAGTCACAAAAAACACTGCTAAATCCATCAAGTGCCAATAGCAACTGAAGTACTTGGAGTACTGTGCAGCCAATGGCATATTAGTATTAGAAGCAATCTCAAAATTTTTTCATTTATTTTAGGCATCCACGTAACTAGCTTGGATTGGAAAACTCAAACAAGAAATAACGTGGAAAACATTTTCACAATCAAAATGCTTTCGCAAAAATTTATCCATGATGTTTGCACATGTTTCAAAACATTCCTATATGCCCAGCTAATTTATGTCCTATATTCAGCTGTCAACTATTTGGCTACTCCTCATAATGACAAATTCCAGTGTTAGATATAAATCCCAATGAAACTAAAGTTGCTTCAGCAGAGAACCATACTTAATTTAACAGCTCTAAACAAGAGTTGCACCCAAACCATTGGTGCAGTGACATCAGTATAGACATCATGAAGTCTGTAACAGCTCCCAACCTACTATGAATATTCTAACTCCAATATGACATATTCAGTAAGTAACATTTCCAATCCAAAATCCTCATAGCTTGACCAAGTGATAAGTTCACACTGACATACCAAGAAAATCTTTAAAAATTTAGGAAATTCACAAATAAAATGAAGAAAAAGAAAAAAGAAATAAAAGGGAGAAGAAGCGTGCTCTTGTCTCAGTGTAATAATATCGTTGAGGTTCCAGAAACTAGGACTCCTACATAAATATGCTCAAATGAATCAGCTTAAAAATGGGAACTATCGGCTAGGATGAAAATTGGAGTGTAAGCCTCTCAAGATTCCTACTCAACAACATAGAACCCCCACCATAGGCACAGCATTTGCTCTTTCAGATACTACTAAAACTTAGTCTCCTCCTACTGCATTTACAGCCGCAATCGATCTAAGGCATAGAGTTAGAAAGCAAGATATGTTTGTTATCAAACAACGAAGCAATTAAGTGAGTCATCAACTAAAATCTCCTGGGTATTATCAACCAGATAAACAAAATCTAGTTCATCAAAGAGGATTACGGAACAAAAGATCTTTGACTCGGGTCACCAATTGTCTGATCTGAGCTCACACCATAACATAAAGGGAAAGTTTAAATAATTGCCTTCCAAAGGAAATCAAGTGCAATTTAGCATCCAAAGAACGTTTTACAAGCAGATTAATTCATCAAGATTGGAATAGGAATCAAATAACAGGTAACCCTTCCTAGCAACAATATCAATATCCTGTTTAGTCCAACATTCCTTTTTTTAATTAAGAACTTACTTATTCTCCCCTTTTACGCATTGGTTCAATCTCAAATCAAATAAAAATGTCAAAATCATTATGCAATGACTAATTAGTCATTTCAATGACCACGAAACAAATAAACATCAAATACTGTCCGAATGCATATTATATGGCTGAAGATAACATAAAAAAAACCATATTAAAAACAAAATCCAAAAAACAAAATTGAAACTTAAAACACAAAATTCAATAAACTAAGGATATGGATCTTCAAGGAATTCCTATCTTAAAAACTAACATAAAAAGAAAGAACGTAAAGCCCGAAAAGTTAGCTCAAACACAAGCAAAAATCATAAACTTTGAGCTAAAAGCTTCTGTAAAGAATCCCACCAGAATAATTATGAAAAGAACGTAAATTTATTATTCAAAACCGAAAAACTTACACAATAAAGGCTTCGTCTTTATCCCAGTAATCCAATTCAATAAATTTCAAGCCAATCAAACAGAGAACAACCAAAATCGGAAGTATAATAATTAACCCAAGAACCAAAATTTGCATCAATATATAAGGAAATTAGCAGAAGAAGTCAAAAATTACGAAAAGAATACAGATATTAATTGGAAAATGAGAGGTGAAGAATCTTATACCTAAAAGGGGAAAGCTTGGAATTGTCAGCGCAGCGGATTACGGTCGGTGTGTTCCGTTACGTTAGAAAATCATATTTAAATAGGATGTATGAATGGCGGTTGTCACGTGAGGTGCACGTGCTTTTCGAGGGGATAACGCGCCACTGTCCGTATTATCCAATTCAGAATTGTAAAAATATTTTTTGCTCAAATGATAAAGACACAAAATTTTTTTTTTTTATTTTCCCACCCCTTCACCCACCTTTTCTACTCCAATTATTAAGCACATGATGAATTTCAATTCTAAATCTAACAGTAGGAAAAATTCTGAGCCATCCCCCCATCCGCTAGACCGATTCAATGGTACATATTATCTAATTTAGAATTGTGAAAATTGTAATTTTTAGTTCAAATGATAAATGCACAATATGTATGTATGTGTGTCTGTGAAACTATTTTTTTTTTATTTTCACCCATTTCCACATCCTTTCCACTCTAAATTCGAATTCTAAATTTAACTGTAGAAAAACTCTAAAAATTCTTTTTTGACTATTGGGCGCCTCAATAGTTATATATGCAATTATTTAAAGAATACTTCTTCAAAAACAAATCAAAGCAATAATTAATCAAGATTTTCAAGTTTTTTCCTGAAATATGCACTTTCCTAATTTTCTTTAGCTCAAAATAGATTGAAAATATCGTCCCTTGAATAGAATAAACTCACGCTACATTCAAGTTAACAATCCTACATTCAAGTTAATTATCTTTAGTCCTCTAGATAGAAAGATGTACTCATATTGGCTTAACTAGCATCTTGACAAAACCTAACTATTCATAGATTATGTTTACTTTTTGGAGAGAAGTTCAGCGGTCGAATTAACCCTTTCATCTTATTCCATGTCGTTGTTAATTGGAATGACAACAACTAAGGACATTTCTTGAAGTGCAAAAGTGAAGACTTGTGTGAGCTTTTTTTTCCCACATTCTTGCAAAAATAAAAAGGGTTAATCACATTTTATCCCTTTAAAGAATATCCCATTTCTCAATTTACCCCCTAACCTTTAATTTTGCTCACTTAACCCCCTTTAGGACAAAATTGCCCTTGCATTATTTTGACTTTTCGTTTACCTTGTTTTCTTTTCTTTTATTTCTTTTTCTCTTTCTTCTCTATTTAATTCTGCCTCTTTCCCACAAAAATCTTCACCTTAATGATTGAAATTAAAAAAGAGAAATTGTAGAGATCTATTTTCTCCTTAAATGATTAAAAAAATATTCAAATAACTTTCCTAAAATACAATTTTTTTGCCTTTCAATTCTTTTAATTTTGGATTTTTCTCTTTCCTTTCTAGTTTCTCATTTTATTCCCAAGAAAATATTTTAAGATGAAATTGTGACCTGATTAATAATCATCAATTGAAATTTGTGACACGTGGCATCATACAAAAAATCAAAATTAGTTTTTGATGCCTTTTAAACCTTGACCCAGAAATATGCAATTAAAAACTCAAAACAAAACTTTTGTTTGAAATGGAATTTCTATTGGAAAAGATGAAAGAGAGAAGAAAGAGAAAAAGAAATAAAAGAAAGGAAAACAATTTCATCTTATGATATTTTCTTGAGAATAAAATGAGAAACTAGAAAGGAAAGAGGAAAATCCAAAATTAAAAGAATTGAAAGGCTAAAAAAATTTTATTTTAGGAAAATGATTTGAATATTTTTTTAATCATTTAAAGAGAAGAAAGATCTCTGCAATTCCTCTTTTTTAATTTCAATCATTAAGATGAAGATTTTTGTGGGAAAGAGGAAGAATTAAATAAAGAAAAAAGAGAAAAAGAAATAAAAGAAAGGAAAACAAGGTAAATGAAAAGTCAAAATAATGCAAGGGCAATTTTGTCCTGAAGGGGGTTAAGTGAGCAAAATTAAAGGTTAGGAGGTAAACTGAGAAATGAGGCATTCTTTAAGGGGATAAAATGTGATTAACCCAAATAAAAAATTCAAGACTTGACCTGGTTGAGTTCTCAAGGGTATTTTCTTTTTGGATTATTATCACTTTATCCCATCAAACTATATCACTACTATCAGTTTACCCCCTAACATTATGTTTTAGTCACTTTACCCCCATAACTAATTGGGTTAATCACATTTTATTCCCTTAAAGAATATCTCATTTCTCAGTTTACCCCCCTAACTTTTAATTTTGCTCACTTAACCCCCTTTAGGACAAAATTGCCCTTGCATTAGTTTGACTTTTCATTTACCTTGTTTTCTTTCTTTTATTTCTTTTTCTTTTTCTTCTTTATTTAATTCTTCCTCTTTCTCACAAAAATCTTCACCTTAATGATTGAAATTAAAAAAAAAGGAATTGCAGAGATCTATCTTCACCTTAAATGATTAAAAAAATATTCAAATTACTTTCCTAAAATACAATTTTTTAGCCTTTCAATTCTTTTAATTTTGGATTTTCCTCTTTCCTTTCTAGTTTCTCATTTTATTCTCAAGAAAATATCATAAGATGAAATTGTTTTCCTTTTTTTTATTTTTTTCTCTTTCTTCTCGCTTTCATCCTTCCCAATAGAAATTCTATTTCAACGAAAATTTTTATTTTGAGTTTGTAATTGCATATTTCTGGGTGAAGGTTTAAAAGGCACAAAAAACTAATTTTGATTTTTTGTATGATGCCACGTGTCACAATTTCAATTGATGATTATTAATCAGGTCACAATTTTATCTTAAGATATTTTCTTGGGAATAAAATGAGAAACTAGAAAGAAAAGAGGAAAACCCAAAATTAAAAGAATTGAAAGGCTAAAAAATTGTATTTTAGGAAAGTGATTTGAATATTTTTTTAATCATTTAAGGAGAAGATAGATCTCTGCAATTTCTCTTTTTTAATTTCAATCGTTAAAGTGAAGATTTTTATGAAAAAGATGAAGAATTAAATAAAGAAGAAAGAGAAAAAAATAAAAGAAAGGAAAACAAGGTAAATGAAAAGTCAAAATAATGTAAGAACAATTTTGTTCTAAAGGGGGTTAAGTGAGCAAAATTAAAGGTTAGGAGCTAAACTGAGAAATGGGGTATTCTTTAAGGGGATAAAATGTGATTAACCCTAAGTAATTTAACTCAACATATTAAAAAATTTTGGACAAAAATAGCTTTTTATTTTATAGCATTACTACATTGTTATTATCACTTTATTCGTTTAGATTATAGTGATACAATCACTTTAATTTCTAATATTATTTTCTAGGCATTTTACCCCATCGTTAATTTAACTAGTATGGTTAAAAAATTTTAAATATATTTACCCTTCTTTATATATAATTAAAAATTAAAAAAAATTGGAATGGTTATTCTTCCTTTTTTTCACTTTAAGAAATCCAAAAACATAAAAATAAAAGGATTTTCTCAAATTTCTTTTTTTCACATTTATTAATACTAGGAAAAGAAAAAGAGATAGGAAAGAAGGAGACAAAAAAATTAGATTTTGCAAAAAAAAAAAAGAAAATAAAGAAAAGTCTAACATTATGGTATAACGTTAAAGTTATCGAGATTAGGATTGGAATTTGGTAGTAAACAAAAAAATGAAATAATTTTAAAATAATAAAAGCATTTAATTCTTTTTTATTTGTAATTTTTTAAAAAAAATTTAGCTCTCCCTCTCCCCCTCCCCCTCTCTATCTTTCTATTTTTGTAATATTAATAAGATTGTCAAGAAAAAAGAAATTAATATTTTGACATTTTTTCTTAATACTTAAAAGGAGAAGAGTCACTCTAAATTTCTTTATTATTTTTATTATGCAAAGAGGAGGGTATTTTCTTCTAAAATTTGTTAACTTGCTAAGTAGGTTTAATGGTAGGATAAATTGCCTAAAAAATAACTGTAGGGGGTAAATTAATAATGAGACTATATTTTATGAGGGTAAAGTGATAATAATTTTAAGGGTTAAACATGTCGTTTCACTTTAATTAACGAACTCCGTTAAATTTTACGTTAGTTTTGGGGGTAAAGTGACTAAAAGATAACGTTAAGGGAGAAATTGATAGTAGCACAAAATGTGGGTAAAGTGATAATAACCCTTTCTTTTTTTGTTTATTTTGCGCAATGGATGGTGTAAGTATAACTTGAGTAAATGGAGATTAAGAATAAGGGGCTAAGTCAATCAAGCAACCGAAACATCATTAAAAAAGAAAAGAAAAGAAAAGTTAAATTGACGAAAAAGTTAAATCATAAACATCAAATTATCTTGTATTTGTTTTTTTTTTTTTCCTTTGGAAGCTGAATTGAATTAGTATAGTCATTAAAAATGTGAAGTCCTACTGCAAGAGTACTTCAATGGTTCCCTAATCCATGATTGACTTGTTAAGTCTTAAAGACAAACCCCACAGACTAATCCATGATTGACTTGTTGCATCTTAAGGACAAATCCCATATCCCATAGACTAATCCATGATTGACTTGTTGCATCTCAAGGACAAATCCCATAGACTAATCCATGATTGACTTGTTACATCTTAAAGACAAACCCCATAGACTAATCCATGATTTACCTGTTAGATCTTGACATCTTCAATTTAAACTCTAAAGATTGATAGTCAGATGTTGATTACTTTTTTGATAGAGAGATGAAATAGCATAAAGATAAATCAAACTTTTGAAAAAAAAAAAAGGAAAGAAAAACTCAAAGTGCATGAACAAGCCAATTGGCTTGGATTCCAAATAAGCAAAACAAAACTTCTACTTACCAAATATTGCATACCTAAATATGCAGATAAACCTATCTACTTCAGATCAAAGGAGGGATTACTTTATGCCCAGTGTGGACTTGATTACTTTATGAGTGTACCGTACCGTTGGATTAATTTAGGCCGATTAAATGTCATGGCTACCAAATTCGGTGTTAATTAGATCATTTTTCATGCGTAATCATGAAAGTACCATAATTCATACGTAAATATTACTCTAAGTTCCATTTTTAATTTAACTGTCCAAAATTGGATCTCTTTCTAGTATACATAAATTCTCCGGACCAAACAATTAAAACAAGTGCAATAGCGCACTCTCTGGTTTTTTTTTTTTTTTTTTTTTTTGTGGGAACAATTTGTGCACTAGACGTAGTGTTGTTAAACGAAATGAGCAGCTCGAAAGCTCGAATGGGTTCTGCTCGATAATGCTTGAACTCGACTCATTAATTTCAGTAAATGAGTCAGA